TTTCATTTTTATCATTACATTATGGAAAATAATGACCTTTATCACAATATGCTATTTTTTTTAGAAGGACTTGTAAACTGAATTGAATTTTTATTTCCCATGTCCTGGATCACTAAATCTACAACATAAGATACTAACATTGGAGTCAGACCATATCAATAGTAACGTGATAGGATCAATAATTGAGTTTGTTTTTACCTTCTGTGCGTCATTCTCATTCCAAAATACAGCACTCCACCGGATTATCTGCCAAGATTTCATCTACACAGTGGACCAAACAAGCATGCTATCTAATGGTATCTGAATGCACAACAGCTTTAGAATGACACGTTAACGTGTTGCATCCGTACGTACTTCCTCAGACACAGCACTGTGACATCATGTCGTCTTCTGCCTCCGAACTGTTAACAGTTCACACTGAAGTCAGATGGAGGTCGCATTTTAATGATCCTATAAATGGCAACACAACAAATTCAGATCTGAGTAAAAAGTTGGAATTGAGCATTAAGACCTGCAGTGTGAACGTTGCCTTACTTTTACTGTTCTCTCATGTTCCCCCTGAAAGACTCTGGCACCCCCTAGGGGAGGCACATGCTATTTTATGTTGGAACTGCCTTGAGTAAAGTATTTCTTTAGGTGAGAACACACCACACATTTAGAGTTCCTCAGTGTGGAGCGTTGAGAATCCTGCGGAGTGAAGTGTCAGTTTTGTTGTTGCATAATGACAACATTCAGTCTTCCCTCTCATGTAACTGGGACAGAAAGTTACCAAACAGACCCATGACTGACACATTTAATGGGACTGTTTATTTATTCAAACGTATAATAAACACATATTGGGTTTTATTGTGGTGCAGACTACGTCAGGCCTGAATCACTGAGTTCAACTGCTGCTGATGTCGTGTGATTCATGTGTGCCGTCTCACAGTATGTGTGGCGTGAAGTGTGATTGTTCAAGCACGCGTGTGTGTTGTGTCTTCTTGGGTAAAAGGGCTCGTTCTTCCCTGGGCTGCCTTCAGCCACAGAGCTGCTTGTAGAGCAGTTAGGTCTGGAATGTGACTTTCCTGCGGAGACGCTCCTCGATAAAAACGTGTGCGTGATGCCGTGTTCTTACATTTATTAGAGCTGTAACAACCTTCATTATTGTTTTTATAAAAGGGTTCTTTAATTACATGATCTGTACTTTAGTTATTTGCAGAAAAGACAACACAAGTGCAATTATATTCTGTTCACCGTTCCATCAGAGCTTTGAAACGTGTAATTGCCTTCATGAAATCATTGTTTGAACTTACTAAGTATTTTATGCCTTGTCTGTAAATCTGCTGCTGTTTGTTGTGCAGGCACCGCCATCCATGGTCAGCACAGAGCAGAGACAACATGCCGAACACGTATTCCTCTCCTTCAGAAAGTCCAAATCCCCATTTGCCATATGCAAGCACATACTGGGTAATTATTGAAGAAAACATTTAAATATAGTTGGTGTTCAAAATAATCATTTATGAGAAGAGGGCTGCTATGTTGTTAGTGTTACGTATTCCCTGACACACATTTGCTTTAAGTTTATTTAAATGTCAGACTCTGGTGTTGTGGTCAGAACTTTTAAGTTGTGATATTTAGGTAAAACACAATTTTCTTCTCTGCAGTTAAAGTGGAAAAATGTAAAGTTTATTACCAGTAACTTCAAGCACTTTGTCAGTATTATTGTCTTTTGTTGGTTGTTTTTCTCCCTTTTGATATTTCTCTTATTTTCATTCACCAGAGACCAGTAAGGTGGATTATGTGTTGTTCCAGGCTGCCACAGCCGTCATGGAGGCTGTGGTTCGGGAATGGATCCTGCTGGAGAAAACCAGCATTGAATCTCTGCGGGCATTTCTCCTCACCTACGTCTTACAGAGACCCAAGTAAGCAAGACATGAAAGAGGAAGGCAGAGGCCTCAGCTTCTTTCACAAAGCACTGGGACCCTGTGTACACAGTTTTGTTCCACCTAATGTACCACATGTGATCAGGTGACAGTAAAGAACCTTGACCTGCACCTTGAAAACACACAAAGCCAGGACTTAGACACCTTCTGGGTGCCTAGCTGTGATTTCTGAATAGACCGAGGCAGCAAAGGGGTTGAAGCCAGCCCACCCCTGGTATGCACTGTGCTGCAAATTAAGGAAGTAACAAACGGTCTGTGTGTGAAAAGGTAATCAGCTCAATACAGAGATGCAGACTTTTATATATATATATACATTTGCTGTCTATAGAATTCACCTGACTAAGCTGCGCAAACTAAATTTAAAATAAAATACAATTTTGAACATAAATAAGACACACCAGTGTTAAAGCCGCGGGAGTCCACAAGTTAATATTGGAACTGTTCAAACTCTTTGTGAAGTGTGCAGCTCTTGTTATAGTACAAGGCTGAGCTGCCAAATGTATATAAAGACATTTTAAACCCTTCACACACCCTTGCAATATTCTAAACAATGTTTATAAACTCTCAACGCTCTAAAAGAGACGGAATGTCTTGAGTTCAACTCCCTGCCTCCTTTGCTCTCAAACACCTGCAAGCTCTCTCAGCCACACTCACTTCTCCTCTCTGCACGGAGATCAGCTGATCAGCTGCAGCAGGAAGTTTATCCTACAGTATGTGGTGTAGGTGCAGGAGGTGCTAAATAATTTTAAATAATTTATTTTAAATAAAAATTCTATGCCGATCGTGCAGCTCATCCATCAATCAGCCTATTATGTTTCCATCCATCCATCATCTTTTACCCGCTTCTTCCATTTTGGGTCACGAGGGTCGCTGGTGCCCATGTCCAGCAATCACTGTGCGAGGGGCGGGGGACACCCTGGACGGGTCTCCAGTCCATCACAGGGACACATAGAGACAAACAACCGTTCACTCTCTCACATCTAGGGACAGAGTTACCAGTCAGGCTAACATGCAAGTTTTTGGTCTGTGGGAGGAAACTGGAGTACCTGGAGAAAACCCACACATGCACGGAGAGAACTCCACCCAGAAAGACCCCCGGACCAGGATTTGAACCGGCAACCTTCTAGCTGAGAGACAGCAGCTCTACCAGTTGCACCACCGTGCTGCCCCCAATTATGTGTCATTCAATTCAATTCTGTTTATTCCTAAAGCTCCAAGTCACAACAGAAGTCGTCTCAAGGCACTGAACAGAAACATACATCTATAAAAATCGTCCGCCCGCCCGTCCGTCCGTCCATCCATCCATCCATCCATCCATCCATCCATCCATCCACTCACCCACTTCCGCTTATTCCAAAGTCATGTCTTGGGGGCAGCATCTTGAGCAGGCTCTCCACAGCCTCTTCCAGCTCTTCTGGGAAGACTCCAAGGTGTTCCCAGACCAACAGAGAGACGTAGTCTATCCAGTGTGTCCTGGATCTTCTCCAGGGTCTCCTTCCAGTCGGACATGCCCGAAGCACCTCCCTAGGGAGGCGCCAGGGAGCATCCTTACCAGATGCCCAAACCACCTCAACTGGCTCCTCTCTATGTGGAGGAGCAGTGGTTCTACTCTGAGTCTCTCCTGAAACCTGAACTTCTCACCCTGTCTCTGAGGGAGAGTCCAGCTATCCTGCAGAGGAAACTCATTTCAACCTCCTGGATGCACGATCTCATTCTTTCAGTCTCTACCAGAGTTCATGACCAGAGGTGAGGGGAGGAACGTAGACCGACCGGTAAACAGAGAGCTTTGTCTTACAGCTCAGCTCCCTCTTCACCACAACGGACCAGTACAGAGTACGCAATACTGCAGACGCTGCACCAAAATTATATTATTATTATTATTAAAATAATAATTGAACATTATTTATCTGAGGAGCAGCTTTGAGTTTAACTCCATCACAGAACTCTCATCTTGAACAAGCATGAAGGCGACAGTGAAAGAAAAACTCCCTCATGAGGAAGAAACCTTTAGCAGAACCAGGATCAGGACAAGAGGACCATCTGCTTCGACCGGCTGGGTTTGGTAGGAACAGATACACAATGGCAGGTCAAGATAGAAATAGTATCAAATGAAAACTATTAAATTTTAACAATTCATTTAAGGAAATGAGGTCAATTTGTCGTCTAGTAGTCTAAGTCTATAGCAGCATGACAAGCCAACCCTAACTATAGGATTTATGAAAAAGTAAAGTCTTAATCCCAGTCTTCAAACTGGACAATGTGTCAGCCTCATGGACAGAAACTGGAAGTCGGTTCCACAAGAGAGGAGCCTGAGAACTGAAAGATCTGCCTCCTGTTCTGCTGCTGGAAACTCTAGGAACCACAAGTAAACCTGCAGTCTGAGAGCAAAGTGTTCTGTTAGTAAAATATGGAACAATAAGATCTGTAATATAAGATGGAGCTAGGTTGTTGAGAGCTTTGTAGGTTAGAAGTAGGATTTTGAATTCAGTTGTCATGTCCAATCTTACTTTGAAAAACTGGGATGGAGCAAGTTCACAAAAACTGAACGGTGAAGTAGCGAGGGACCAAGTTTTCCTTTTTATTAGCAAACACGAGTCTGAAGAAATGCTACAAAATAACTTGCTGTTTCACATTGCAACAAAGTTTAAGCAGTTTTTTTAGCATTTTTATTTGCTATATTTGTTTGGAAAATAGAATTATAAAAGGCTAGAAAAGTGATTTTTTTTTCGATGTGTCAATAACTTGCTTAGACTAAACTTTGGGCTTCTCCGGTTGGACTTGAGTCTTTTTTCTGAGTGAATCGTTGCCACCTATAAATAGAACTGAGTGTATATAGTTCTAAGAAAACTATCTGCCACTGTAGTCAGGGACAAAACACTCGTTTCCTCCTTTGTTTCCTGCCTGCCTACTCATCATTGTACCCTTTCAGGACAATAGCCCTTCACAGCAGTGACCAAATGTCTCCCTGTTCCCTGCAGCCTGCAGAAGTATGTCCGAGAGCAGATCCTGCTGGCTGTGGCCGTCATTGTGAAAAGAGGCTCTCTGGACAAAAGCATCAACTGTAAAAGCATCTTTCATGAGGTCGGACAGCTCATCAGCAGCGGGAACCCCACAGTGGTAAGACCTGGATCATTCATATTCAGCGTTTGGGGCGGTCCATTCTTCACTACTAAGAAGTTTATCAGTGTAAGTTGGAATATGCAGATTTCTTCTGTGACCATCAAGTGAGGCCAAAGGATGCAAAAAAATCTTTAAATTAGAAGTTTTACCTACCGCAATTCTCGGGCTGCAGAACGCACCTCTGTCTAAGCCGCACATACTAAATATAAGATGAATCATAATTTTGTACATGAATAAGATGATCCGGTTATTAAGCCACGGGAATCTTCATCGTCTGGATCTGTGGCCAGCTCCAGCAGTGTGCAGCTTTCTTGTTGTAGTACAAGGATCAGCCACCAGATTCACAGAATATAGCTTGTTTTCAGCACACGTTCAGAATCAGAATGAACTTTATTTTCATTGCACAGTTAAGTACAGTGAAATCTCGTTCCATGCGTCTGAAGGGTAGACGGAAGTGTACGTGGCAGCAGCTTCTATGAAGCGCTGCCCTTATCACCTAGATAAGAAAAGGGAAGAAAACATGAGGAGAGAAGGTAGAAAAAAAAAATCTGTCGCATCGTGTCCTTGACACAGGGCATAGTGTAAAGATATCTTTAAAATCTACCTCAGCACAAGCAACGTAGAGAGACCTCATACATTTTGCAGGGGGGGGGGGGGGGGGGGCTACAAGATGGTGTGATTGTCCATGAACACTCAGATAGTTTCCATAGTCCTGATAAGGATGTTACAATGTCTCTCAGCCGGTCCACTCTTATAAGGGTCCACAGATTTTCTGGGGTGGGGGGTCGGGGGTGGGTGAGCAAGGAGGGAGGGGGCAGAGCAGAGTTTCTTAATTTATGTATCCACCAGGAGCAATTTGATACAAGTTGGCCTATCGAAGGCCAGCGGGGCAGCCAAATTCAGATAAACAACAATTGTTTTGG